ATAACAAGCACAAAATGGTTATGAGCTTGGTCCCATGGGACCGAGCTAGTGCTGAAATAGTTAAAGAATAACAGCTGGTATTGTTCATTTTATTTCACATTTTTGAACTTATCATCTCACAATACTTATCTAATTTTACTACAGTTAGTGCTTAGGGTAGAGAAAATAACAGATAAAATATGGTTTTACCAGAAAAACTCTTGATATTCATTTAGGAGGACTTAGGGGTAATTCAAACAAAATATGAAAACTGTTAGGTGCAAATAAGTATTTCCATTCTTAACATGAAAATCACCTCTCACTAAAATTTATTAGTCAGAGTCTGGGTCAGTAAAGGATTCGTAAATTCACAGCCAAATATTTAGTAAAAGACTATTATAAAATCATATTTTTTGTGTGCAACAGACTTGTAATGTGTACTAAAAGTTTACCAATGTTTCATGAAGATGTGCATAGTAAATTCAAAATTATAGTAAACATTACTATGCATACCTTCAAAGAAACAGGGTTAGTTCAATATACTGAGACCATGCTTATAAAGTCAATAGAAATTTGGACCTACATTACAGAAAACATGAACATACCTGACAATTTTGTGCTTAAGGAGAAAGTCTATTCATCTGTAAGTGAACATTACAACAGCTACTTGTGTGGTTCATCATGGATTTTTAAATTGTCAAAGTCACATAATTAAACTGTCAGATGTGCCTGTAAGTTGGAATCATATTTTGAGTTTCTGTCTGTAACACTGTCCTTACGACAGCTCTCTCTTTCCTTCATTAAGAGGATTGTTACCCTTGACACTGCTGCTAGAAGTAAGATTCAAGTTCCTTGTCTCCTTTGAGATCTTTCCTTACAAAACATTTAGATCAGTATCATCCCTTAAGACTTCCTATCCAGTACTAAAGTTACTCATTCATTGCCCAGGACTTTTGCACCCAGAAAAATCCACCTTCTGTAATAGGGTTTTTCAACAGGCTTGGCTATGTTGTGTAGGAAATGTGTGATGGTCTTCAGTGAGCTCTAGTGGAGAACTTCTCTATATGATGGACATGCATTAAAGTATTAGATACAAGTATCTTCTCTTTTGCTTGTATGAGTTTTCCCTTCCTGCTCAAAAAACAAAGCATGAAGTCCAGGTTAGTTGCCTCATTCATGGAATCTTTGAAAATTCTTAAACATTCACTAGAGTATATTTTCTTTTTTTTACTAAGAAATTTTCTTAAGGTTGAGTAGAAGGTTACTACAGTTCTTCCTCTTGCACTATCCCTCAAAGGTTTTCATATACCAAGGATGTTACTGCACTTGTGGTGGTTCCTGTGTGATTGGTTTTGAGTGAGATATTTTATAATACGGGGACATCTTTATTATTTCGATCATCCAAATGTTGGGTTCCCGGTTCGGTCAAACATTGTATCACTTTGCTATCATGTGTCCTGTTCACAGACTGGTGGCTATGATATGTTTCTCCGGTCTGCTGAACTTGAGGTGAAGACGGTATAATCCTCTTTTCTGCTACCACCAGATCTCTGGGATTTGGATTGCAGTTGTCTTGCCACCAGTATGAGCCACTTTTCTACCCTCACCAGATGGTTGGGTTTTGGATTGCAGATTGACTTGCCATCAGTATGATCCTCTTTCCTACCCTCACTTGAATGTCTCTTCCTGGTGGCTGGGTTTTGGATTGTAGTTGACTTACTGATGGTATGATCCTCATCCTACCCCTGTATGGATGTCAATTCCCAAAGGCTGGGTTTTGGATGCAGTTGACTTGCCATGTACTGTCCGTTGTGCCCTAGCCACTTTATACCTTGGGGCACATCCTTTTACTCTCACCCACATTACTGTCATCTATGGGATTCAGATTCAAATATTGGATTGCTATCCAACCATTGTTCTCTCCTTTTTGGATGTGCTCCTTCTTTTTTTCCACCCATGTCTGTGTCACCTCTTTCCACATTAGGCGTAAAGTGTACCTGGTACAGAAGTGGTGCAGTCTCCCATGTATGATCCTCTACTGCTAGGATCACCCCTTTTAGGATGTTCTTCAGACACTTTCGAAGGATGCTTCTCTCTTTCTCTCACACCAGTCCCTCCACCTATTCAATGTGGGATTCTAACTATTTATGTGAGAAGAGGTAATGTACCTTATTGGAAGTTATAATTTTCCTATTCTGAAAATGTATTTCCTCACTGAAAACCGGTGCTTCCATTTTCTACCAAAACTCGAAGTAATAGTCCAGTAGAATCAAATGGAAGAAGTCATATGCATCGAAAGGGTGTATCATGCTCTTATTGGTGGAGGGTTGTTGCATGATGATTTGCATGTGTAATGCAGTTGAACCATTCGCTATGTGGGAAGTAAAGTCTTGTAGTATGCGGAAAAAAAAAATTGCATATAGAGTACAGCACTGAAGGAAAATAGCTATTTATATGAGAGGAGGTAAGTACTTACTGGAAATACATTTTCGATATAGGAAAATTATAACTTTCACAAGTCACTTACCTACAAATCGTGTACGAATTTAAGTTTGTTTTGATGATTTCCTTTTTTCTTCTGATAGAGTTATAGATAGCAATTATTGATATACTTTGTGATTTAATTTATTCTTCTATACAATAACAAACACTGTAAAGCAAGCAACCCTTTGGTATTACTGACTAATTGCTAATCATGCCATAGTCCATAGACCCTCTAGATTTTTTGACGTGTTTCTGGCATACAATTTACCTTACTGTTTAACACTTTCACTGCTCTGAGCATCATATGATGTTTTAGTTTTTCCTGCCACCATTTTAAAACATTGCTAATATTTGGTTGGACCAATGACCCATAGATGTAACCCCTGGTGGCTGTAAATAGCGGGAAAAAATTTAACACCCTCAGTTACTCTCAGATAAGCATGGAAAAAGCTTGCAGTTTGTGAAAGTGAATGCCGTCACTGACATTGAGGAAAATACAGTGAATGTGAGACAAATATAGTGATAAAGAAGAAAATATATTCTCATCAGATATATCAGCTGGGAAAACAGTGAAGAAGAATATGACATGAGGAAAGAAAGATTGTTTCCACAAGTGAGATGCAGAGCAAAGTAACAGTGAAGGGGAGAGGCAGATGCCTTGGCCCCGACCAACCCCCATTCTTTCCTTCTCACTCTGCAAACCACCAGGCCTACAAAGAGGGAATTATATAACTTTTTATAGTTTTGCATGCTAAACTATGATTTTATAAGGTGAATTTTTTTTATATTTTTGTATTTATTTTTTATTTATTTTTTTTGTGCATGGAGTTTGGAGTTTTCTATCCCTCCTGAGTGGTGAAAGGGTTAAGCATAAGATGTTATGATTAGCAATAAAAATAAAACACAATTTAGTCGTATAATGTTTAGTCATTATTATGACTAAACATTATATGTCCGATCTTGAAAATGGCTCCGAGTTGTAATTGTAGGTCTGCAAATAATAAGGAAGAGAGAATACACTGCTCCATAGGCATTATATTTATCCTTGGAAATCATTTGTGTAATAATTGGGAACAAACTGAACATTACCATTGTTTTTGTGGCTTTTACACCTCTATTTCTTGTCAATTCATCAACTTGTAAGGTCTAGGGCTTAGTTTACAGAATCTAGTGTGAATTGGTTGTCGTGTTTCTGGCTGCATTGTAACTTGTCTCAGGGACAGTTGATAAGTGAATTAAATAACAGTAGATAAAAGTAAAAATCAATAAACTGATAATGATTAATTAGCTGATTATTTTCAATCAATTGATCAGTAACCAAATGGTTTTTATTGATGTATTCTTAATTAAATGTATTTTATATGGGTTCTTAAAAATTACAATCAGCAAATGCATGTATGATGGTAGTTAAGTGATATTATTGTGGTTTTGAAAATAGAAATAATAAATATTGGTTTGCTGTTAGTGATACTTCTCATTTTACCAAATAAGTGTTATTTAAAAAACTACCATTAAGATATTCTAAAATTATAATTTTTTTCATAAGAATTTTGTCTTGATGTATGAACCCAGAAAAGAATATAATAATGTGACATACATACTGTTAATTATAAATTTATACAAATATATCAAGTTTCAGTAGATAATTTGGCTATCTAATTTTTACTTATCTATGATTCAACTTATTTTAACATCATGTAATGTGTTTATTTCTTACCTCTCGCATCATATCTAGATTTCTTTGCATATTGTAAAATGACTTGCACAAAATATCTACATTTTCCAATTACAGTTCCTTACAAATGTAAGCATATTTTTAGTTCTTGGATAAAACCATCTGGTGATTATTGTATTTTAAAGAACCTTTTTAAAAATTTGTGAATAATAAGAACTTAATTCTCATATTTTAACTTGATTAAAGCCAGTTGATTGAGCTCAAAACCATGTTAATGCAAAATGAAACTGTATTAAATTTTTGTATAAGCACAAGAATAGCAGTGTCGTAATTATGCATCATACATGTAGGATTGTTGATAATAAAGATAGTGTGAACAAAACAAATAATATTACTAATGCTTTATATTAATTGTACCTTATCATCCAAGATAATTAATGCTCTGTACTTGATTTTTTCACAGTTCAAGCAATGTTTGAACAGGAATTTCCAACATTTGATAAACTTGTTATTCAAATGGTTCTAGAAAGTTGCCATTACAAAGAATCAGTTGGTAGAGTTATGCTAACAACAATGAAAAGTGGAAATAGGTAAGTAATGAAATCTAACTATTTGAATAATGAGGTGTGTTTAACTATTATTAGAAATTTTGTTTATAACATTGAATGATATTAATTGATGTGAATTTTCTAAGTAAATTTCCTTGTAGTAGGATATATACAAATAATTCAATTGTGTTAAAGTTCAGTATGCTACATTCTAAATAACAGCTTTTTAGGCCTGGTAGTTAGGGTGCTCGACTCACAATCTATAGGTCATGGGTTCAAATACCCATTACCAAACATCCTTGCCCTTTTAGCTGTGGGGGCATTATAATGTGACAGTCAATCTTACTGTTTGTCGGTAAAAGGATAACCCAAGAGTTGGCAGTGTGTGGTGTTGATTAGCTGTCTTCCCTCTTGTTTTTCATTGCTAAATTAAGGACTGCTAACACAAATAGCCTTTGAGTAGCTTTGTGCAAAATTCAAAACAAACTACAAATAGCTATTAACACTGCATAGTCAAAATCTCAAACCTACTTTTATGAACTTGTAATTGTATTAAATTGTTAGATATTAAAGCTTATACAGTAAGTACAGTTTATTATAGGACACAAACAAAAGATAGCTAATGCCAATATATATTTAACTTTTAAAAATTTGAATTTAGGAATACATTTCCATCTAAAATTCAAGTACACAAAATTGAGCTGTTTTTTCTCTTACCCTTTACTTGCTATATGCATATTACTGCTGAAAAAGAGTGAGGTTTTAATTCTATAATGTGTTTATTACTTT